CCAGGCTTCGGAGACCCCACCCACCCCACCCCCGCAGCCCCAGGACCCATCGAATCCCGGGCTAGGTTCTGGCACTGCGAACCCTCATGGGCTTCCACACTTAGGACGCCGCTTCCCCGCTTTGCACGGGCGTTTGTACATGCCGGTCCCGCCAGGGGTGCTCCCCCTGCACCTCCCTTCAAGCCCCACCAGACCCTCCCTTCAAAAACTGTTCTTCAAACTCAGGGCAGTTGACACCTCTCTTGGAAGGAATCCCGAGACGCCTTCATCACCACACGAGTGTGCACGCGAATACATGGACACTAATACACGCACACTGATGCACACTAACACACACACACATGCACATGAACACACACACGAGTACACACAGCACACTAACACAAGAATATACACACACTAACACGCACTAATACACACTCGCACACTAATACATGCACATGAATACACACATGAGCACTAATACACACATGCTCACTGATACACAGGCACACTAACACGCATGCACTAATATACACACACTAATACACTATTACACATGTGCACACTAATACACCACACTAACACACACACACTAATACACACATGAGCACTAATACATATAATACACCACACTAACACACACACAAATACACGCACACTAATACACATACAAGCACTAATACATACACACTAATACACACGCAGTAATACACACATGTGCACTAATACTAATACACATGTGTGCACTAATACACAAACACACACCAACACACCACACTAATACATGCACACTAACACGCACACTAACACACACACACCAATACACACAATGCACGCAAACTAACACAGGCACACTAATACACACACAGTAATATACACATGCACACGAATACTCACACTATACACATGTGTGCACTAATACACACACTAACACACCACACTAATACCTGCACACTAACACACACACTAACACACACAATGCACGCAAACTAACACAGGCACACTAATACACACACAGTAATATACACATGCACACGAATACTCACACTATACACATGTGTGCACTAATACACACACTAACACACCACACTAATACCTGCACACTAACACACACACTAACACACACAATGCACGCACACTAACATAGGCACACTAATACACACACACTAACACACCACACTAATGCATGCACACTAACACACAGGCACACACTAACATGCACAATACATGCACACTAACACACGCATATTAATACATGCACACTAACATGCCACACTAATGCATGCACACTAACACGCCACACTAATACATGCACTATCACACACATGCACACACACAGAGTGCCAAGCAGTGTCTTCTCCGTGCTACCTCTATTACCCACTTCAGTCCTGTCTGGAAATCTGGGCTCACCCACCCCTCCCCAGGTCTCAGCACCCCCACGGTTCCCTAGTTTCCCGGGGCACAGCCCAACTAGGCACTCAAGGCCCTGAGATTTGGCACCGCCCACCCCATCCCCCTCTGCCCTGTCTTCCTGTCAGTCACAGGAGCTGCCAGCCAGGACCTAACAGTGGGCAGCCAGAGGTGTGGTAATTGAGGCGCTGGGTCCTACATGGCTAAGTGCACGGTTCGAGTCCTACTGAGAAGGCAGCTTGAGAAACACACCGGGTGTGTGCGCACATGCCCCAAATCCTGGAGGGAGGGAGCAATGGAGGAGGCACCGCATGTTACCATTCCCCTCGGGGATGCTGTCTCACTTCCCCTCTCTATCTCTGATCAAAATAATAATAATAAATAAAATACATATTTAAAAAATGAATGAATGAATAAAATTAAATAATTCTTTTAAAATTTTTTCTTTAAATAGGGGAGCCAGCAGATGGCACAGTGGTTAAGGAGTTAAACTCGCACATCGCCGACTGCAGTTCAGGTCCCAGGTCTGGCAGCGTGAAACGTCCCAGCGCATATGTGCGTGCCCAGAACCCCGC